GAATCAGATAATGCTAGTGATCAGTTGATCCCTGTTGGTTCATGTAGCAAGCATAGAGGGGCTTTTTTTGTGTCTAGCTCTTAAAGCTGCATCATGATAATTTTTTGGGTCATCAGAGGTCAGCGGAACAAGATGTAAACACTGCAACAGCTGCTAACTTTTTATATCACTTGTTTGATGGTGGTGGTCAGGTCGTGTACAGTAGCTTTAATCAGAGATTTTTGCAATACAAAGTGTGTCCAACTGCTGAGAGTGAGTTTGGTGAGAGTGGAGTTACAGTAAAAACAAAATAAAGATAAAGATACTAGAAGGTTTTTGGAAGCAGTGAGGAACTGCAGAGTCAGGTCATAATTGTCTGTTTATGTGTAAGTGTGCACAATATCTTTCACATTACACAGGGTCATTTAATTTATTGTTAATGTGAAATTATTAATTAATGCAGCTTTCAAAAGTTTTTTTTTTTTTTTTGACAAAAAATGCATCAGATTTGTGAGCTCCTGACTTAGCTTCTGTGTTGTCATTTGGCATTTTTATGATTTGTTTGATTACAGAGTTCATAAATGGTGAACAGAGATTCTCTGGGACATTCACTAAAATGAAATTAGTAAAGCATTGGCAACAAAAAGTCTACCTTGGCAGTAGTCGGGGTAGAAACTGGAGATGTCTCTAAATGAACGCTTTTCAGTGTCCCTTCATGCTGAGGTTAAGGGTGGCAGCTGAATCCTGACCTCCATGGCTTGAAAATCCCCGCCACAGCTCTGAATCCAGTGTTTTTCTTCAGTAGCATACGTCTAAACGCCTCTCTCTCTCTCCACCGTGTTCTCTTGCAGGTCATCCTGATCCTGACCAAGTACTACCACGCTGACTCCACCAAGGTGCTGGAGAGCTCGCTGTGGAGGTAAGCCAAATGTTTACACCATGTTTGCTCTCGCTAGACGTCTTTATGTCATGTCTGGCCTCGGACTCACGCGGGCCTTTCATCGGCGAGCGGCTTCCCTTTAACAGTGAGGTCAGTGCGGGTCTCGGTTATCTCACCGCTGTGCCTCTTCAAGGAGACAAGGGTGAAACGGAGCGTTCGGGCGGACAAAACATCAGCAGGCAGCTACAAGTAAAGTGGGGGACCGGAGAGCGGCGCTGCGAGGCCAGAGCGGGCATCTGTTTGGGCAGATAGCATATCAGCGTGGCACAGGGCAGGATGACGGGCACCGGCAGCGCCAGGGAAAGGGGTCAAGTCTGGCTGGCAGAGGCTCTTCTATTTAGCGAAGCTGCTGCTGGCCAAAAACACTTCTCACTTCTTTCGCTTTTGAGCGGTGGAAAAAAAAAAAAAAGAAGCGACGCATCCATTTTGCTCCACTTGACAACAAGTATATCTTGTGTTGCCGTATATATTCTCATGCACTATTAATGTACTCTTTATTCTACATCCGTTTCCTAGCAGCTCCTGGAGAGCTGCTCTGCAACTGAGCCTGACCTTGTAGATATCAGGGTGGAAGAGACTTAATTATATTCATATTTCCTAATAAAAACTTAGAAAATAGACAAGTCAAGGCTCATAAAACTGGCTAAAATTAGCCGCCTAGAAGGCATTCGCACGGAGCAAAACGTGTCTGATGGTGGTACTTAATTCATGCCATTCACCTCACTGAGGGCTCCATGACTTCAAAGCTTCAGCCCCTCATTAGCTCTGACTGACTGTCTCCCTGGAGGACAGATATGAATAATGTACATATTTTTCTCCTTCTCCTGTTGATGTTTTAATTGTTGCAGCGTATGAATAATGCTGGAGATTCACCACTGGACAGTTCGCTTGAGAAAGGAAAAAAAAAAAAAAAGACAGCAAATGGTTGAATTTAATCTGAATTGAGCCTAAATTGGCACAGACAGAGGAAGCTGGCCAGCTGCCTGCTGGCATCATTGTCGAAAAAGCAGAAATTACCATGAAATTATCATGTTTCCAGCAGGACCCATACGGCTATCTGACCATGTCGCGGTAGGGATTTCGTGTGAGGTGTACCTTGATTCCTTTGTAGCTGTCAGTTTGGCGTGGTGTGTGGACGGCCACAGTCCGCTGGCCTATAGGCTTTGAAGTCCCAGGGCAGTAGGATCAAACGAGAAAGATGGGGGAAGATGAATGGGTTTGCCGTCTTGCCTTGTCAGGTGGCGTAGATCAAGATGCCAAGTTTCACACAGGGGGAAAGTTAACAACACAGAGCGCTGAAAAGTTTTCAGGGCAGTCGAGTTAATGAACTGAGCCCTTTTCGAATCAGCGGAGGTCTATAAAGGCTTTTGTTATTTCAGTAAGCAGAATGCACAAGCGTCTTCACAGTTGAGCAACTATAACGAATCTTCGTGGATTTTCCCCTCAAAAAACACTGGATGCCAGCCAGTCGGCATCATTCACTTCAGTTCTGAGAAAGAGCTGCAGAAATCATTGAGATTCTGGTGTGTTTGCTGGTAATACCTGCCTTACTGTGCTAAACCACAACCTCAATGACTTTTGATTGTGCTTCAGTGTCCCATGATGGCGTAAAAACACAAGCTTTTTCTTTCTAACAAGAAGGCAGTTCAATGATTGCTTATCCAGCAAACAGCAGAGGTTATTTATATCCAGCACTGCTTTGCACTTCTTTGCAGGTTGGCTGAAACTGCTTATATTCTATAAAAGTAGATTCCAAACAATGTGAAGACAGAAAACTCATCACTTTCTGTTCTGTTGAGGATCAACTCCCAGGAAGAAAAACAAATTAAATGTTCTGTTTTTTAAAATACCATTAATTATTCTTTTAAAACTGCTAACCACTTCATTTAACTGTCTAAGCCCCAAGCAGTTTCTAGGCATTTTATTTGCTCCTATTACCTGTACTCTTACTGTGGGCTCTTTTTAATTTATTTATTTTTTTTACATTTTTTTGTATTTTAACCGCAGTAAGTCCTCCACTTCTATGCAAAACTTATAATGCCACTAATCATAAAACAAAAAAGAATTTCTTTTTTTTACTTTACTAAAAAAAATCTCAAAAAACTGGATGAGCGTGCACAACAGTTTCCAACATTCTGCTGATAATAGAGGGAGAAAAAAAAAAGCATTTTACAGATGTTTTACTTGCTCTTTATGCATCCTATTCAGTGTAGGTGTTTTTCTTTTCATGCTTTTCGAGACATCAACTCTGGAAAGATATTTCACCATGCTGAATGTATCTTCCATCAGCTTGCTCCCCTTTACACCATTTAGATATTTTACTGTTTACATTTTTTAATTTGCCTACATACTTGCCTTCTCTCTGCTCTGCCTAAACACTGCCTTCAGTTCATTTGAAAAGTCTCGAAAGTTTTGTCACGACTGTTGGTTGCAGCTTAGTCACTAGTATCTTAGTGCAATAAAAAGTAGTGCAAATCGTTTATTTTTGCATAATATTTAAATGAGATGTAAAATACATTGAGTTTGATGCTAAGCTTAGATTTAGTTCATTGTCCCAGTGGAACAGCACGGCACAGATGAGTAGCTACATGTTTTTTTCCGGATTCTGGCTCTGAAAAATTATGTAATTTGGGATTTTATGTAATTTTTTTGAAAACACACGTCTTTATAAACTTGTTTTGGGGTTCAGGGAGTTAGTTTTTTGTCTGGCAGACAGCCAGAGAAATATCAAGGAGGCCATTTTTCACATCTGATGTCAAAGATAAATTTTTGAACAAGACAGGAAGAGCCGAGGAGCTCATGTGGTGGTAGAGCGGGTTGTCCACCAATTAAAAAGTTCTTCCCACATGTAGCCTTGGGCAAGACACTTATCCTCAAGTTGGCGATGGTAGCCAAGCACCACTAGATTGCAGCAATGGTCTGCCATCATTGGTGTGTAAGTGTGAATGGGTGAATGAGAAACACATTGTAAAGGCCTAAGCTATGGTTGAAAGACGTATAGAAGCCAATAACGTAATAAAGGCCGATAACATAATAGATTTGCCATTTTTAAAATCTATTAGGCCAATAGAATAATAACTGGCCAATAACGTAATAACATATTACGTTTTTGGTTGGTTATTAAATTTGCAAATAATTTTTTTTTTTTAACCAGGCCAATAACATAATAACTTATTACATTTTTGGCCAAAAGATATTATTGTATCGGTTCAGGGCTTTTATTATGTTATTGGCCAGTTATTACATTATTGGCCTATTACATTTTAAAAAGTATCGGCCGTTGTTATCTTATCGGCTGTTATTACATTATTGGCTTCTACAAAGGCGCTACATAGGTGCAAACCAAACAAACTTTTTTTTTTTACCTGTATAGCTAATTAAATGGTAACCACATAGGTTTGATTAGTCACTGGAAAATGCTGACAAATCACTTATTGTGTTGCGCAATTACAGCAACTTGTTGAAAGCCAACATTGTCCAAACAGGTCAGTCAGTACAAGCTGCATAATGCAGGTTTGAAGTCTGAAAGAAACTCAGCTCGGAGAACTGTTCCATGAATCATCAGGTATAAAGTTGCCAACTTGTACCATCTAATCATAACCATAACCACACTCCGTGCCGTGCCTGTGTTTCCCAGCTCACTGTGGAGAGTTTTGTCTGTCCCCAGGCTTTGGCGTCAGCATCGACTCTTTCATTATCGCTGCCTGTTCCTCCTGCAAGCCTGTCCTTTCCCTGTGTTATGACTGGCCCAAGGTCCCGTGCTATAACACGGCTGATAAAAGAGCTCCAAACATCTCCCCTCGCTTGTCTCCAGAGAATGGCTCTTTGTGAAAGGGAGAGGTGAACAAGTGAGCGGCAACATACCTGAGGCCTTTCCACGCCGCTTATGTTTGCCTTTGAAGCCACGCACGTGAGAGCTATGAGAACATTTACTGGTAGGAAGATGACTCACATTTTTCCATGTGAGGTTGTAGAAGTGTCTGTTGGCAGCATGACTCCTTTTCTTTCTCGCTTTCTTTGTAATCGGAGCCTCAGTGTGTCCAGACCCCGGTCAATAATTGATGCTGCAGCGGCAGTGATGTCGTTGTGTTTGTCTTCGGCTGATTTCAGTTAGCGCAGTCAGAGGTCCAGACCCCTGAAGTGAGAAGAGATACACTGGACACTTAATACTCAGATGCCCCACTGAGTGTATGTGTGTTACAGCTACACATCAGCTTTAAGAGTGTGTGACTACCGACCTCTATTCTGGGAAGAAAAAAAACAAAAACGCCTGAGCATGTAGAGGAGTTTCTCAATGACAAGTACTGCAAACAATATGAAGTAATTGAAAGTTGCTGCTCTTTTGCTGTTAGATCATCACTGAAAGATTGAGAGCTTCATGTAATTCAGACAAACAGTCGCTTATAAAAGTGTTGCCTGAACACTTTCAAGTCAATTCATCTATATCGTGCCAATTCACGTTACTCATCTTAGGGCGCTTCACATAGTAGGGTCAAGACCTTACAATATTGTGTCATAAAGAGAAACCCAACAATTCCCTTTGAGCGAACACTTGGTGACCACCTCCGCCGCCTCCACCTTTGAGGCCGTGCAGAATCATTGCCTCCTGCTGGCTGCGTCCCTTTGTCGTCTCTCTCCAAGAGCTTTTTTTAATTTCACATCTTTGTAGTCTTGACACAACGCTTGCACACTTTCACAATGTCTGTCTTCTCAGAAGCACTGTCTGTGTCACTCACACAGTGGAATCTGCTAAAAGACAATGAGCTCTGAGAGAAATCAATCACTGCCTGCTTTGACACTTCTGCACATCTGACCAGTCAGGTAGAGTCGGCATGATTATCGGATGCCGGTACACTATCTGGCAACCACTTTTTTTTTTTTTTTAAATCATACTGACCTTTACTGCCACCCTTATCCTCAATCCTTTATGTGTTGTCCAATAATCTACTTCTATAAATTTTGTAACACATTTAGAGTTT